TATATATATATATACACACACACATATATATATATTTATTTATATGCTTATTATGTACTTTTCTACATGTGTATGCATATATATACTTACACATATAGTTATACAGTTTATAGTTTATAGTTTTCATGCATGACAAATATACTTTCCAAAAAGACAAAAACTTTTCAACTTTGCCCAATTCGAATAATGTTAAAAATAGTGCAAATAAAAAACGCACTATGATTACAGAGAATGAAAATTTGAAATATACTTACCGAATTCTTTAATCAATTCTGTAAAAACGCCAGGATCGCTTTCAATGAGACACCAATTTCCTGCCGAGTCCGCCATATTTTATATACTATCGTAAATGTGTTACGTGTAGAAAATAAGTAGAGAGCAATAAAGAGTATGTGAAATTTCTCGCGAACTAACGCGCCACTTAGCGGCAAACTCAGCAACCTTCTGGAAATATCTGTACCATTTTCCCTGTACTATTTTTTTGTGGATGCCTCTCAGGTTTCTCTTTGCACCATAAAATATTTAACAGTTTAGAATTGTGATATTTTTAAAAAAACAAATGCTTCGAAGCATTTTTTGATTGGTCAATTGTTAAAATTCTTTCTTCCGATTGGTCAATCAAAGCATTTGTAGCGCCAAGTTAATAGCACCTTCAGAGGTGTTCAGAGGCCCGATTGTGTATTTTGAAATGAGGTAAAAAATTACAAAAGCAATGATTACTAGGTATTGGCCAATTAAATTATGAATATTCTAATGAATTTGTTCACTTTTCAAGATACACAATCGACCTCCTGATTCCCAGACTGCTCCCCAGGTGTCATGTCATCCTTGACTAATGTATGATGATAAACACAAAGATGGAGTGATACCTGGATGACACTTATTCGAATGAGTACCTAAATTCAGTAAAGAATAGACTTGTTCTTTTTGGCTGAACTTTTACATCAGTTTATCTTTCTTCTTCTTCTTTTCTTTTAAAGAGAAAAGGAAGAAAGATAAACTGATGTAAAAATCGTATAATAAAAATACTCCATTATATATAAAATTGCATTTCAACTGGTGTCAAATACGATTTGAAATATGATTGCTAATACATTACTATTATATATTATTATTTATACATATATATTATTATATATATATTATTATTGTTATATTACATAATATATATTATTATAACAGTATATATTAAATATACTATTATATTATGATTGGTAATTTGATGAATTTCGAGAGTTTTTGGTGAATTTTTAAACAAGGCTTTGATAAATTCTTTTCTTGACTCTATCCTGTATAGAATTACCGACGATCGATTCGACACATATATAATGATATTTACATTTTTGAGCTAATTTTTGCTTATAATAATTTATAATTTGCTCGTAAGATTGTACGAATATTTACATGACGGAAAACATTTAAAAGTTTTCACTATCAGCTCAACATGAAGAAAATGACGGTCTCTTTGCCATCACGCACACAATGACAATAAGTATACGAAATACTGCAATATACACGAGTCAACCCGACATACGGGTAGTAATTCGTTTCGATGCCGCACGCCAAATCGTGGAAATAGTGCGTAACAATTAAGTTATCGCTAGCTACTGCGCGGTTTGTTTTCCCTTTGATTACCTTTATTTACATCAGCATTGACTCAGGTATGTAGATGTTTCATACAGTCTTCCAGTAACGTCGCACCGCTTTTAACCTAACATAAGTAGTAACTTCGAAGTTAAGATTTTTTCAATGATGTCAAAAATTGATGACTGTTGTGCTCCTGCTTCTACGTTTAAGTGTATTTATTTTTTTATTTATTAACGCATGACATATTTATTTTTTAATTTTTAAAGGAAATAGCCTTATATTTTACACAGCCTTATATTTTGTATTATCTTATATTAATAGATAAATGATACTTTTGTGGTTCCATTAGCTACTACAATTTTCATTATCATTCTTGTTGATTATATGTTGACATTGCTCTCGAAATAAATTATCAAATAACATGTATGTTGATTCATTCATAATAATTATATTTTTAATATAAAATTTATCATTATGTGTGATTTTGCTTATATGATTAGTATTGTAATCAAGATATAAATCGCTGTAAAAAGATCTCACATCATGATTGAGATAATTTGATATTATCTCAATTGATATTATCAATTTGATATTATCTTATAGTTTGACTTTTATGTTTCAGTTTTAGACAGAATGTCTGAGCAGTTTTTGGGTTGTACAGTTTCGGTAAAGTGTATCGATGATCTTGCTTACCAAGGTAAAATTATTGATTTAAATAAGAATAGTCTGACTCTGGCAAAAGCATTTTGCAATGGCATACCTCATACTTCTTCTGTTGTTAATTTGAGGTAAGATTACTAGCTTGATTAATTTTTATAAATTATTAAAAATATTTAAAAAAATCTTGCATGTGTATATACACACACACACACACACACACACACACACATATATACACATAGAATTTAAATAAATTTGTTTAATTAAATTAAATTTAAATCATTTTAAATAAATGGGTAAATTGATATATCACATATTGTTTATTTTATCGCATATAGCCTTATATGGACTATTTCAAATTGATTTCATTACAATTGTTATTTTTATGAAAGAAGATTGTATAAAATTCGTTTCTCCCCCAAGTTCCATTTCAGAGAATTGAATTATTTTCAAACTTACTTGTTTAGAGGCTTCTGTCCTTCAAGGCATGACACAATATTACGATTTGTTTATCTTTTATTAAGGTATAATATTCTTGCACTTAAAATTCTTAATATATATGAGAAGCAATACAGGAATCAAACTATGATCTTTTACAAGCAGCTGCTCTATCATTAAGTTGTTCAACATCCCAAATAATATATATGAACACATGTATTAATTATCTTTATTACTACAGTGTAAAGGATATACAGAATCTTGAGATTATATCAACAGAAGAAGCAGGAAACGTTAATGATACACACAGTAAGGTAATCGTAAAGAGACCAATTGCGAAAAGGGCTGGGCGATCTATTTCAGAATGCGTTCCAAATGCAACAGTGCAAGCAGGAAGTTCTCAGTCACAGACAAACTTCAAAAAACCAGCAGAGCCTAACCAGCAAGTGGAGCAAACTCCTAATGGGAAAATACCTCAAAGTACATATGATTTATATATTAACATCTGATATATGTTATATTAATGTAATAATGTTGCAGCTGAAAATAATGCATCTAATAATAAATCAGTCTCAAAGAGATTAACTCATCGGCAAAGAGCATTGGAAAGAGACGAACATACCTTTGGTACCCCGATTGATCAATTAGAGCAAGACTTTGATTTTGAAAAGAACTTAGCATTATTTAACAAAGAGGTTGAGTTTTACCGTTTTTAAATATTATTTAATACAAAAAGAAAATTTAGTAATATGTTGTTTATAATGTTATTTAACTATTTTATTATTATTGCAGGCTGTGTGGCAAGAAATAAACTCTTTGAAGCCGGATATTGTTAGACAGTCGGAAAACAATCGGGGTACTACTGCTATCTACCGACCCGATGAAAATATTCTTGTATCTGAACCTACAGTACTCAGACAGATCATGGTGCCTTGCCGTGGTGAAAAAGAATATGTTACAGATAATGGTCTAGTAATTCCTAGCATCCCTCTAAGTTTACATCGACAATTAATAGGTGCAGCAGATAGATTGGGAATAAGTTGGGAACGCAGGGTTCGTATGTTGGAATTATTTGTAATTATTTTTTTGTTTAATATGAAATGAGAAATGAGAAAAAAAGAGAAAAAAGAAGAAATAATAGATTCAAGTAAGAGGCAGAGATCCAACCTTATAAGATATTTACATTTAAATAAGTATATTGATGGAACGTATTTATTCTGATTACAAAATAATTAAAGTTAAAAATTAAATAAATAAAGAAAGAATAAAATAATAAAGAATAAAATTCAATAATTAAATAAGAGTATTTTTAAGATATAGCTTATCACATTTTCACTTATTGGTTCAAATATACACATCTAAGCTATTTTTATTCAATGTTTTAAATTTAATTTTAATTTTATTTTAATTCTATCGTTATATTTAATAATTCTGACTTTCTTTGATAGGTGGAATTGCTTGGTCGCGCCGGTGCTGAACTCACCTTACAGTTATTGGGTGGGAGTCATCGATTGAATCCGAATAATGCGCATCAATGGCCCACCGTGGTCGTGCTGTGTGGACCGCATCGTTCCGGCGCTGCAGGAATCAACTGTGCTCGACAATTGGCTGCTCACGGTGTCACAACAATCGTGTTTGTGGAAAATGCGGAAGATGTATTTCTTCTGCAAGAATTGTCGCTATACAGGCTAACAGACAACAAGGTAGAAACCAAAGTCAAGAATCTACCATCATTGGTGGATCTGATACTTGTAGCGCTCTGTGACGAAGATTCGCCCAGAATGGTCACTCCAATAGCGAGATGGGCAAACAGTAATCGGGCACCAGTATTATCTATCGAACCTCCGGCAACGGGTACACCAGGCATACTCAGTAAATTCAGCCTGTTGGGTGCCCTACCACTGTCGCATAGCGTCGACAACGGCAGATTATATTTGTGCAATCTCGCATTGCCAAACAAAGTATATTCTGACGTTGGCATCAAGTTTAGATCACCATTTGGACCTAAATTCGTAATTCCTCTACATTCCAATAATTCTTAGCAAATTTTTAAGGACCACATCATGTCTTTTTGAATAGTCGCCTTCGTTTTATCATGCGTGATTTGTAAACCTCGTATACAAAGAATATATTTTACTTCCGGGGCCCATTGAGTAAAGAGTTTATATATAGTTTGACATTTGATATAAACTTTTAGATAAACTTTTAGAAAGAGAGAAAAAGGGAACGCATGATGTACTATAATATTTTTCGTATTAATTGCATGATATCCGCAGATAGACTATTTCCGATATTGTATAACTTTGAAAGCTGTATTTTAAAGTCTTGATTAAGCATTATACACATAGATAAAATATAGATATTTTGTCTGTAAAACTGTGAAGACATCGTTTTATGAATAGCAAACATAAAAAGAACTAATGCTCTAAATATTAACGACATAGTTCTCCAAAAAGCAAAAAGTATGTAGAATCCTTGTTTAAGGATACAACTATATGTGTCGCAGCATGATTTTGCATCAGAGCACATGAGTGCTCCCAAATATGTATTTGATATGGCTAAATAAAAGCTAATTACTTGGCACGGGTCACATTACACACGTGTGTATCTACAGTTTATATTAACAAAATTTATATTAATGAATAAGAAAAAGTATGTAAAAATTATTGCCATAAATTCTCCTAATTAAGAATGTTCTCATGTTTTCGGATTAATAAATAGTTAAATGATGAGAAATCTTATAAGAATATAGAGCCACTGTAAGAAAATACTTGCTTGGCATAGTATAAGTTTATAGCTGAAAACTAAATAAAAATAAAAAATAGTAAGAATATTAAATTGATGGCTTGCACATACGAGAGAAAAAAGTCTTTGTATATTTTTAATAATTTGTAACGTACTATTTATGTCATTAAAAATCTGCGCGCGAAACGCGCAGTTATTTAGCATTTCTCTTTGATCAATTAGTTGATTGACAACAATTTTATACTTGTGCACATCTTTATTAATTTGTTCAGTAAGCTCAAGTTGCTCATATATCAAGTATTATATGTATTTTATTTTACTTTACGTCCATCACTTTATGTTCCGATAAGAAACTATAATAACGAAATGTGTAGATGTATTGAAATTATTGTAAACGCACATGCAAGATATCTTCAGCATTATATAAAGTATATTAACACTTGAATATTCCTTTTTGTACTGATTTCTTTTAATGTTTACATTTATAATCAAGTGGAATGTGCTTTCGACGAACACGAATTTATAGTTATTGTAAACCTAGAAATATAGACAAATAATAATTTCTTGTAAATCCGATGTTGTATGAAATCGATATAAAATAATCCCGCAATTCATGTCCATTTTAAAATGAATTAAATACATTTCAATATTTTAAATGATTTATTTGGAAGTATACATTTATTATAACACATTTATTAAGACACATTCGATAATAATAATTAAAATAAATAATATTAAAATAAATTATAATTATTGTGTTAATAATTAATTATTAATTATTAACATTTAATAATTGAGCCTTTAAATTAATAATAATTGTATATTGGTCAAGAGATAATAATTATTTTAAGCAATTGATAATTGTATACTAGAAAATAGATATTTAATTTGCAAATTATATACTTTATAATCTGTGTGAACTATATATTTGAAAGAAATGTACTATATATTTATTATCATGTATATATAATTTCCTTGTCTCAATAATTTCTTTCAATAATTTAGAAATAGAAAGTAATTTATAAAACTTGGACAAAATAAATAAATTTCATAAACAATATATGGACAATGACATGGATATGACACATTGAATTTTTATATATCTCAGTGTTAATTTAATTATATCTGCTAATGATATAAATATAGTAGCAATTACATATGATTTGAACTAATATTCCATACAAAGATGCATAATCATTAAATTATTCTATATTAAATAAGTTATAAAACGCAAGGTAATGAAATTATTCTGTGTAATTAAACAAATGAATTCTCAACAAGAAATTAATAAAAAATATAATATAGATATAAAATAGCTTCTATAATTTTTATAGAAATAACAAAATAATGATATAAAAGTTGAGATTTTTGTTTATATAGATATTGTCAATTTTTGTAAATATTAAATATAAATTAAGAAATCATTTCATGCATTCACTTCATTTAGCTAAAAAAAATTTTTTTTGCGGACTTCGAGAGCATATCAATAGCGCATTATTATATAATTTATTCATGATTAAGTAAGAAAAGGGGCGGCTAAGCAGATATGGGATTAAAATGTTAATTTTAACTTAAAGACGTATAGTGGACTTTCTGAGACATAAAAAAATGTTAAAATTAATATTTTTGTGTTAATTTTAACATTCTTCATGTCTCAGAAAGTCCATTATACAATACTATAAGTTGAAATTAACATTTTATCAGATATTAAAAAAATAATAAAAAAATATGTAGCGGTCGATACTCTGTTTAAAAATGATTGTAAAGCATAGACTCTGCTAAAACTAACGAGAACTGTCGCTAAAACTACTATAAGCAATCAGTACGATACATTTTCCGTCGTGCCAGATCCAGATATTAAAAGATAATATATGAAATGGCCGAAATTAATGTATTTTCAGATACGTTAATTCCGATTAAAAACTTAAAATTTGAAGGAAAAAATAGTTAATGTTTTTTATTTGTATTCAAAATTTACGTAAATATGTCATAATGTAAGTATAAAGGATCACCGATTGAAATGTCTTGAAATTAAATAAATGATTTTCTTTACAAAAAGATCTCTTATAACAATTGAAACACCATTTCGTTAGAAAATTCATATCAATTCAGTATGAACCACATCGTATAGACCAGTTTGTAAGAATCAAGATAAATTGAAGGTTGCTTTAGGTAGCGCGCATTGGTAATACTAAAAATACACAGACTAATATTCCATTTCTATGATTTCTACGTAATTATAAATAGAATGTCTTGAATGGTTAAGAAGAAATATATACAATTTCCATATATTCATCTACTATTTTTTGTATTGATGTAATATTGGGATACCATTCCATATTTATCATATTTGTAACACTCGATCGCTTCCGGTTAAAATATGCTTTATATTATTCGTGACTTAAATAAAAAGCAGATTCAAATCATTTAAAGTACTCAATCTCAAACATATCGTTATAATTACTTATAAATCTTAAAAACAGACATATATGTGAATTAATATAATCCCAAGCAAAAGTCGTTACAATATCAAAATAACTTCAAAATGATCATTAAAAGTTATTTTTCAATCATTTCCGATTCATTTTAATATCATTTTGATGTTATCGTGACTTATTGTTCTGCTTTGGATATATAAGGGCATCTCACAGTCCACTGTTTGGACTGTGTTCCTTCGTCTCTTTCATAACAGTTATCGATATAAAAAATCGATATAAAAAATCCGACTTGTTTCGCTTAAATCATCCCAACAGGACCTTGGAAAGTTGTTCATTCGAATGCGTTTTTGATCCAGAATGAGCAAGCGCAGCACCCACACGCGATTAGCTTACGCATGCCTAATTCTTCAATTAATATGACTAACACGTTCTATCGATATGCTTATAGCCTGTGCTATCTCTCTAACTTTAATTCGAACAGTCGTTCAGTATGATTTCATGAATTTTTTCGATGTTATCGGTGGTCGCAGTTGTTGGCGGTCCCGAACACTCATCATCATTCATCAGCCAAGCGTAATACGATTACGTTTATATTCAGCTACTCATCTTTTCACGGTAAATGGTAGGGTAAAGTAACCCCGTAAACAGCATCAAACTCGGCTGTGATTTGCGCCACTTCTTTAAATAAAAATGTTTAGTCAATGCATGGAATTCGTCTTCCTCCTTTCCTTTACGACAACTGCTGCCGTGCTCATTTTCAACATCTGTCACACGTAAACTAAACCCAAATCCTCATACGGGCAATAGCGCTTTGACACAGAACACTGATTTGTGAAAAGTCGGTTGTGGGAATAAAATTTATCTCCATTGTCCGTTTTTCATCAATCAGCGTTCGGTGTTAGAGCGTTGTTGCCCATATGAGCATCCGGGCAGTCCAGGCTAAACGTTACTTTTAGCTGAAACTTGTTAGGAGACAGTTTGAATAGTGCAGAATAGTGTTATATATACTTCCTGGCCTGGTACAGAGTTCATTATGGCGCCATCTCGCAAAAATTTACCTGATTTAAACGATCCTCGTATATTAATATGTTAAATAAATTATAAAACGCAAGGTAATGAAATTATTCTGTATAATTAAATAAATTCTCAACAAGAGAAGGAATTAATAAAAAATATAATAATATAGATATAAAATAGCTTCTGTAATTTTTATAACATCACTTGACATACATATTTCTGTAAATGCTTTACGGTCTATAGAAATTTATAGCGCTGTCACATGTTAAAAAATACATGATTTTATCGTTGTCGTGCAGAAAACTGCAATTATGTAAATAAGTAATGGTATGAAAGATGAGATTTGTTTACAATCATTATTGTCAAATTTTGTAAATACAGATCAACAAACTCCTTGTGTTACAAAAATATCTTGCTATTAAATTCATTGTAATTTTTTAATTGAACTAGTGCATAAGCATTTTCCATTCCATTATTCATTATTAAAGTGAATTAATTAATCAACACGAGGAACTATGTATGCTCATATAATTAAAAATTATCTCATCCAGTATATTTCAATCTCTGAAATTTCTGAACAATTCTCTTTTTATATAAATTTTTTATACGAATATATTTTTCATGTCTATAGATTAATCATTTTAGATGCGTTCTGAAAATGACCGTCTTTTAAAATATAGTATATTAAATAATTTATATATATTCCTTTTGCAATAATATTTTTATATTTTAATGATACTTCTCTTGAACACTCTAGAATATATTTGAAATAATTTATGATCTTTATTCGAAATATTGAAATTATAGGCACATGGAACTCTTCTCATTTTTGATTTATCAGTTATTAATTGTATAGAATATCGCGCTACATCTATAAACTAAAAATACACAGACTAATATTCCATTTTTATGATTTCTACGCAATTAGACAGAATCGTCTTGAATGATTAAGAAGAAATATATACAATTTCCATATATTCATCTACTATTTTTTGTATTGATGTAATATTGGGATATCATTCCATATTTATTATATTTACCATATTTGTAACACTCGATTCCGGCTAAAATATACTTCATATCATTCGTGACTTAAATAAAAAGCAGATTCAAATCATTTAAGATACTCAGCCTCAAGTATATCGTTATAGTTACTTATAAATCTTAAAAACAGACCGCATATACATGTGAATTAATATAATTAAAGATATGCGAGGGTCGTCTCTGAAAAATTTTGAGCCTACAACATACAAATATTTTTTCGATCAAAAATTCATTTTTATTTTTCAACATAGTCTCCCTTTAAGTCGATTCTTTTCTCAATGATGCTAACATCCCTTTAACCCATTTAAATAATAGTTGCTTTGCAAAATAGACTTCTATGGATGCGATGACCTACTCGTTTGATGAAAATCTTTGTCCTTCAACTCAAACTTTGAGCCTAGGAAAAAAATTGCTGGAAGCCAGATCTGGTGATAGAT